TAATAATACACAGTACATTTACAGTCTATTCTATTTGTACTGCTTCAGCTGACTTGCAGCATCTTTGTCCATAAACCAGTGCATTGTACCATCGGTCAATTTGACTCTTCCAGCTGGCAATGAGGCTGCTTCATTCCCTTCCAACACTTTCTGAGCAACCTCAGCTTTCCCACTACCCGATACAATAAACATGGCACACCTTGCAGCATTGACAGCCGTGTAAGTTAAAGTTATCCGACTGGGTGGTGGTTTAGGCGAATCCGATATTGCAGCGACCAACCTATCTGTGACGTCGAGAATCGGGTGGCCAGGAAAAAGTGAGCATATATGACCATCGGGTCCCATGCCAATTAAAAGTAAATCAATCCTTCCATCAACCAGAGAAGACTTTAATTTTGTCTCATAATCTTTGGCGGCCTCTTCCAGTGGCAAGGCAGGATCAATAGTAAAGACATTTTCGGCTTTTATCCCCTCAACTTTTGATAGGAAGTTTTGGTTCACAGCATCGTAGTTGCCGTCTGGGTCTGATAAGTCCACGTATCTTTCATCACAGAAATAGATTTTCCATTTTGCAAGATGAAGGCTCTTTAGATCAGACTGTTCCAACAGGCCAGCTGGAGCAATGCTTGCAACACTTCCGCCTGAAAAAGCTATGGAAAAATAACCGTGGTCTGAAACGGATTCTTTAGCCTTTGCGGCAATAAAATTACCAATTTTGGTTTGCAGTTCGGCTTTTGTGGAAAATACTTGAACATCTACCATATTTAAACCGAATTTGCAAAATTATAAAATTATGTAACATGTAAAGTTGTATCAGGTTGTATTACATTTGGAATGAAATTAATATGTAAACAAGGAAAACAGGTACCCGCAAAAGGAAGTCTCCATGTTTCCACTTTTCACAGGAAAGTTGCCATATTTAAAGTGGAGGCATTTAGTTTGAGGGTTATTTGTGGAACTAAATGTAAATTTTTGGATTCCTCGGGATAAGAATGGATTGAAAATGCATTAATCGGGGCTTCCCGACAAAAATTCAGGGGCAAGTCTCGTGAAAGGTTGGTCGTGCTTGCTTTCTGGGCTAAATTATTCACTATTTTACACTTTGAACATACATTTTAGCCAGTTTTGAACACTTCAAAAGATGCCTGTTATTATAAAGCTCAAGGGTATGCCATGGCAAACTACAAGTCGTGAAATAAAAGCTTTTTTTCGCGAATCTAAGTTAGCAGAACACGACATTCATTTGGCGCCAAACGAGGATGGGAAAGCATGCGGAGTGGGATTTGCTTGCTTTTACGACGATGAAGACGCCAGAAGGGCCATGCAACGGAATGGGGCTTATATCGGAAAGCGTTACGTTGAGTTGTTTCTGAGCAGCCAAACCGAAATGGAAAAAGCTTTGCGAGATGGTGTGCCAATCACCCCAAAGACTCCTGGTGGACGTTTTAGTCGTGGAGGAGGGGTTGCAGATAAGAGCGGTAGCAGTGGACGTTCACGAGACCGAAGCAGGAGTCCACGGGATCGCTCCAGTTCCAAATTTGGCAAGGGGAGTAGCGGGACATCTAGTTCTACCTTTCAACGAAGTCGTAGCCCTGTTCGCAGCAACCGTGGAGGTTCGTACAGCACATCAAGAACTGGAGCCAACGGTCGTGATTCAAATGTAAGGGAGGGTGGATTTGGGAAAGGTAGGGGAAGAGGTCGTGGTGAAAACACAAGAGGGTCAAGGGGTTTTAGAGGTCGTGGAAGAGGAGCAGGGAGAGGTTCGCACTCATTCTCCACCGTTCGATCTGCAGATGACTCTTCAAGGGATAAAGGTTTGAGATCAAAGCGTGATTCATCGAATGAGAGAGGCAGTTTCCGCACAAGTCATCGATCGGAAAGTTCTGGTGATGCCAGTGGTGAAAAAGGCTTGTTTCTTAAGTTGACCGGAATGCCATTCACTGCTAAAGATGCAGATATTTTGCAATTCCTTAAGGGTGTTAACATTGCTGCTGTGTATATCATTCCCAATAAGGAAGGAAAACATGCAGGGAAGTCTAGTGGTAGTGCCTTTGTCGAGTGTGCAAGTCAAGATGATTGCGTTAAAGCCCTCAAGAGACATGGCCAGTTCTTGGGAAACAGATATATCAATGTCACTCGATGCACCTTGGAAGAGATTGTGTCTACCCTTAATATTGATATGAGCTTGCTTACAGGGTCATTTCCCGGGAATATGAGTGGTAGAAGTTTGGGAGGACAGTCCACTTTTGGCACAGGCAGTTTCTCTTCCAATATATCCCCTGGTGGTCCAATTGGAGTCGACAGTACAGCGAGCATAGTAGCTGCCAGTGCAAATATCAACTTGGCCGATATCAAGGATGGTTGTGTTGTTGGCATTCGTAATTTGCCTGTTTCAACAACACCCGATGATATTCTTCGTTTGTTGAAAGGTTTTCCAGCAATTCCAGATTCTGTGAGGATCCATTATAGTGATGCCAACCGATGCTCAGGTGATGCAATGATCACACTGGTGAGCAATGAGCGTGCCAAGATTGCAATTAGGCAGTTGAGTGGCAAGCAAATGGCAGGTCGGAAAATTGAAATGTTTTTGTTGTAGATCATTGTAGACTATCTGTGCAGACTGTGGTGTTTTCATGCACAAAAGGAAACTTTGTATAGTATTTTAACAAACAGTACCAGCCTATTGCAATTAAGTGATTGACAATATGTCTTTTTGCCTGTTTTTGGACATGGAACTTGCTGTTATACTTAGCCTATTTACCAAGACTTTGCACTACATCATTTATAGTAATGAACAAAGAACATTTAGGTGCTAAAAGTTTAGTTTTTTATTATGTGTGCTGCTAAAAGAATGTATTCAATGAAAATAAAAAGGTTGTTACTTAAGGAAATGGCTGTGCTGTTCATTTCATGGAGAGGAAAAAATTGAAAGGTAAAAAAACATTTTCATTGGTATAAATCAGCATTGTTTCACACGTCTGTGGGGGTTACAAGAAATGGCTGATTTTGTAATTCACGTTTAAGAGTGGGAATATAAAGGCTATGTGGTTTTAAAATGAAATTAGGATTTGAACTGACAAGTTGTCAGCCAACCAATTTTCTCTTTAAAGCTGGTAAGCATTGGAGGCAGCAGAAATTTCATGTTCCCTGATAGAGTGAAAGGTTCATGTAAAGGTATATATAATGGTTATTATTAAGTCTAAAGTCTTTCAGCAATTTGGAACCAGAAACAACTAGCAAATATATAGAAAACTAGTTCACAAAAGTGGTCAAAATGGGTGTTGTATTAAAATTATCTTCCAAATTCAAATTGGCAATTTACAGTAGGAGAAAGAACTATTTTACATTATGGTAACATGCAGATATGCAACCATTTTCCTCAGGAAGCTGTTTGGCTTTGAGGGTTCACACAGCCAGAAAAAAACAAAATCTGACATATAATTTTAAGGTAGTCGGAGCCAATTAAAAGGTAATTGTAGTGGAAAATTCAAATGAGGCAATCACAGAAGGGGAAGGAAACCGTTCTAAAATTTTAAGTAAATAACCCACTCCAACGTGGTAAGTATTGTGGTATGTAGCAATTTTAAAAAGATTATGATTGGCAAGTAATCAGCCAACCATTTTCTGTTGTAAAACTGTTTATCTGGGAAAAGTGGAAGGTTTTTAGGCCAGTCTAATTTCAAGATTTGCAACGGATGTTGTACAAGTAACAGATAACTGTATTTCAACTGCTCTTCTAATTCAAATCAGCTAATTACAAAAGGGGAAAGAAAGTGTTCCAAATGAGTTGCATAAGAAGAATGGTGGGTAATTTATGCTATTGTGCAGCATTTGAATGAGAGTATTTAGGCAACTAATGTCTTGCTTAAAGCTGTTTAGGATTGGAAAGAGCAGGGTTTTCATGTTTTCTGATGAAATTAGGTGTTTTATGTATATATAAAATGATATATGGTATGGCCAAAGGAATCAGAACCCGAGAAAATATTGCAAGGAGTCTGGAGCCAGGTTATAAACGAAGGGTAGTTGTGATGGAAAACAAATTATTCAAAAGTTTTCATTAAACTACATGTACTCTTCAAATTTAAACACACCGTTTCTGAAAAGGAATTAGGGGGGAGAAACTTCTAAGAATGAGAATGAATGTGAAAATGTACTAATTTGCAGCTTATTTATTTTTGCATTTCTACAGTAAAGGGTTGCAAATAAAGTAACCAGCTGACCGTTTTCATCTGTAACGCTTAAAGTTTTGCTTTTGAAACGGGGAGGAATTTAATGTTGTCTGATTAATTAAAATGCAAGGTCCAACATCAAGATATAAATTATATTTGAAGCAGTCTACTCTGGCTACAAGTATTGGGTTAGTATGAAAGAAACGTTAGTTAACTGTGCAAATATTGCATCGATGGCCATATCTCGAATTTAAAAGCCAATGTGCAGCAAGCCTTTCCACATACGAAGGAAAACAGCAAGGCAAACAATCGATGTGCTTTCGGATTTATTAGGCAATTTTGTTTTAATGCATACGTTTGTTTTAATTAACATGCTCCATTTTGTTTATCCAAGATAGTTCAATTGTTTATGTTAAGTGAAACTATACACAACTGCGAATGTTTTGCAAAATACCTCGTACTCGCTCTTTATCTTTATTGCTTCTTTCTCCGAAGTAAAATTGATAAATATAATGGCATAAGTGACAGGAAAATGTGAAGAAGAATGAACAGGCAAACTGTCTTCTGTTCACCAGTTAATTACTTTCCGAAATGAGACCAGCAGTTTCCAACTCAAAGCCGTTTTCATCTGCCAGACACTGCTAAACTATTCTAAAGGTGAGGCCAATGCAAGCTGTTGGCTTCTGCGACGATCTGAAAACCAGTACTGAAAGTTGTGTGTGAATGTCTGTCTGGTTTATTTGTATGCAGGTCTCTTCGTTCACGAAACTTGTCGGTGTCAACCTTAATTCGCTTTGACCTTGCATCATCGCTGCTAGATTTAGCAAATTTGTCTGTGGTTCTAAGAGCGTCCACCTGGTATTGTTTAAATCTACGGTCTTCGAGTTCGCTGTATCGTTACAAAAAAGTGAAAAGATCTATTTGCCTGAGCAAAAACTATTTTTAGATGATACTCGTATGTTGCATAATAATGGCCATCGGAAGAAAGGATCAATGGCTATACCTCTTATCCTGCATTTTTACCTCTACTAACGATAAATTTAACATGCATAGTTGCTGTGGTTTTTGAATGATTGATGCTTTACTGAAATGCTGTTATGATTTTATCTTTTTTCGTCTTGGTCGAGGCGATTAAAGTGGTTTAGTATATTTAAACAGTCGACTACTATTGAAATAAGAGTTTTCTATTTACACTGACACAGTGTTAGTAGTTAACACCAACTCTAATTTCCGAACTTTAATTTCTTATCTTTTAATTTAGCATACGAGCGCACAGACGCCAACCCAAGGACGGCTTCGGCTTTTTTTTTTAGAAGCAATACAGGGTTTTGTCTAAATGCTTCAAGAAAGTGTACGTCAGAATATATGGATTGGTGAAAAGAAGGCAAAGGGATATAAATGTCTTAGCATGACAATAGTATAAAATCTACTTTCCGTCCAATGATAGAAAGTTTCATTATTATCTTTCTTTATTTTGAAAATACCACTGTACAGCTGTCATTGTCCTGACGTATTTAGGACGTTGAGCAATGGGGATATTGGATGCTCAAATGGTTTGAACAACTGGTGTATTGGAGGTCTACACTCCGAGAG